AGCCGACCTCGACCTCGTGCCTCGGCCCGACCGCACCGGCGGTGACCCGCCGCGGGCACCCCTGAGACCCTCCGCAGGAGGCTGCTCCTCCTCGAGCGGGGGGGGCGGGGTTCGCGGGGCGACCCGCCCCCCCTCGTCGTCGTCGTCGTCGTCGTCGTCGTCGTCGTCGTCGTCGTCGTCGTCGTCGTCGTCGTCGTCGTCGTCGTCGTCGTCGTCGTCGGCGCCTCGCCGCCGCCGCGCCGCCGCCGCAGCGCCGCCGCCGCCAGCTGTGGCCGGCGGCTCTCCCAGGCCGATGCGGCTCGCCTTTACAGTCAAGCCAGGATAGCAAGGGTGCGCGGTGCAGTCGGGGCGCTGACCGAAGGAGCCCAAAATAAGGAACGGGCCCCCCTTTGTTTTCCACGAGCTAAGCTTTGATTTCCCGGCGGACGCCTTAAGGACAACCTCAGGCAAGCTGTGAAACGATGAAGGAACACGGAGCCCCTCCCCAACGAGAAGGGTTCCTTCTTCAGCGCCCCGGCAGTAAGGATGCAAAGGCCTTGGACTCCTTGGACGCCCATTTCGAAGCTCTTCGAGCGGGGCGCGGCCAACGAAAGTGTCCAAGGATGGACCGAGGAGGCAAGGATGCAAGGGTACCCTGGGGAGGGATGCCTATCCTTACTATGCGGGTCGACTGTAGGTCGGGCGCGTCCCCCTACAGGCGGCTTTGGGACGAAAAATGAAAGATATGCAGAACATGCCCCAAAATAGTAAAACGAATCGCCCAGAGATCGTCCCCAGACTATTTTTTGCCTATCTTTGCACATTCCTCCTGTAGAGGGGCGTGCCCGACCTAAGGCTCAATCTCTCCTCGGGGGCGTCTGAGAGGGGGGGGGGGCCTGCCAAGAGGAGGGCGCTGCAAACCACGGCCCGAGGCGCGCGCGTGGCCCAGGGGCCTTTGGAGCCCCTGGGGGCCCTCTGGGGCCTCATGAGAGGGGGTGCCCTGGAGGCCGCCTGGGCCACCCCGAGAATCCTACTACCCTCGTCAAAATTAACCTCAACAGTTGCTGGCACGTCAATTCGATGTCGGCGCGCCCCTCAATGTCGACACGCCGCCCCTTCAGTGTCGGGGCGAGGGCAACGATAGTCTGACCGAAGTTGACTCGAAAGTTTGACGTCGACCGACATTGGAGGGGCGGCGCATGCAAGTACCCCGCACTCATCGATACTCGGCCCCAAATCTTCCGACAAGCAGTTCAACCACGTCAGACATTTTTGAGGTTAATTTTGACGAGGGTTGTAGGGCCATCGATGGGCCCCGGGACCGTCGAGCACGACTCAGGATGAGAACCCGGTCCCGGGGGAGGGGTCGAGGTCCTCCGGGGGACCTCCGGGGGAGGGGTCGAGGTCCTCCGGGGGACCTCCTCGAGGGTTGTAGGGGCACCTGGGCACTTCCGGCAACACCCGAAGGGGAGGCCGGCGGTCGTGGGGGAAAAAACACCAGGGACCACTGACATCGGGGGAGGTGCCATGGCCCCGACCATGCTGTCCCCCCCCCCCCACAGCCACCCTGGCCATCGGAAGGGGCCCCAGGACACAAAAATAAATACACACAGGTAAAAATATTCTCCATATTTTCCCATATTTTCTGGGTTTCTGTCTTCCCCCCCACTTCCCATACTTACCTAACAGCTTTTGCTGATAGGTTTCTAGTGGGGTCAAAAGAGAGCAGCAGATGACTCCACAGGGGGGTCGGGGCGGCATCCGGGGAGCTGTGTCCGAACTCGTGTCCGAATGCGCTTTTCGCAAACAGTCACACACTTCGTGCTCTTCGACCTCCCAGAACTCCATTCCCGGGCCACATTCTGAATGCCCGGAGCCAACTGTAGCCACTTCGTGCTCTTCGACTTCCCAGAACTCCATTCCCGGGCCACATTTGAATGCCCGGAGCCAACTGTAGGCCACTTCGTGCTCTTCGACTTCCCAGAACTCCATTCCCGGGCCACATTTTGAATGCCCGGAGCCAACTGTAGGCCACTTCGTGCTCTTCGACTTCCCAGAACTCCATTCCCGGGCCACATTTGAATGCCCGGAGCCAACTGTAGGCCACTTCGTGCTCTTCGAGTGCCCAGAACTCCATTCCCGGGCCACATTTTGAATGCCCGGAGCCAACTGTAGGCCACTTCGTGCTCTTCGAGTGCCCAGAACTCCATTCCCGGGCCACATTTTGAATGCCCGGAGCCAACTGTAGGCCACTTCGTGCTCTTCGAGTTCCCAGAACTCCATTCCCGGGCCACATTTTGATGCTGATGCAGAGGCTGAGAATGGTGATGCTGATGCTGAGGCTGAGGCTGAGGCAGGCAGGCTGAGGCTGATGAGGCTGAGGCAGGCTGAGGCTGAGGCCGAGGCTGAAGGCAGGCTGAGGCAGACGCTGAGGCAGGCTGAGGCTGAGGCAGGCTGAGGCTGAGGCTGAGGCTGAGGCAGGCTGATGCTGAGGCAGGCTGAGGCTGAGGCTGAGGCTGAAGGCAGACTGAGGCTGAGGCAGGCTGAGGCAGACGCTGAGGCAGGCTGATGCTGAGGCAGGCTGAGGCTGAGGCTGAGGCTGAGATGCAGGCTGATGCTGAGGCAGGCTGAGGCACAGAGGCTGAGGCTGAAGGCAGACTGAGGCTGAGGCTGAAGCAGGCTGAGGCTGAGGCAGGCTGAGGCTGAGGCAGGCTGAGGCTGAGGCAGGCTGAGGCTGAGGCTGAGGCTGAGGCTGAGGCTGAGGCTGAGGCAGGCTGAGGCAGACGCTGAGGCAGGCTGATGCTGAGGCAGGGTGAGGCTGAGGCTGAGGCTGATGCAGGCTGAGGCTGAGGCAGGCTGAGGCTGAGGCCGAGGCTGAAGGCAGGCTGAGGCTGAGGCTGAAGCAGGCTGAGGCTGAGGCTGAGGCAGGCTGAGGCTGAGGCAGGCTGAGGCTGAGGCTGAGGCTGATACTGAGGCAGGCTGAGGCTGAGGCAGGCTGAGGCACAGAGGCTGAGGCTGAAGGCAGACTGAGGCTGAGGCTGAAGCAGGCTGAGGCTGAGGCTGAGGCAGGCTGAGGCTGAGGCTGAGGCAGGCTGATACTGAGGCAGGCTGAGGCTGTGACTGCGACTGCCGCTGCCACTGCGACTGTCATCGCGAATGCGACTGCGACTGCGAGAACAGCAGAACTCTACAACTGGATTCTCATCTGAATCTTAAGGGGAATGCTTCCATATATGCTTCTACACATCGCTGTTAGGTTGCTTTGCCGGGATAATTTCCCATATTTTCCTGGGAGTCGACGATTAATTGTGTCTGTGTGTTTTTTCCCCTCCTGACCATCACACCCGCAGTCATCACCCCCCTCACCCCCGCAGTCCTCACCCCCCTCGAACCGGACTTGTCCGGCCGATGCTGCTCTCGGGGGTGGGGGGCCTGCGCTCATCGACTACACGCAAGAGTGACCCTGGGTAAGAGCGACCTTTGGTGCGCGGCCTTTGGGGGCCGCGAAGGGGCCACAAACAAGAGCGCTAGAGGCTACCATCGCATCGCGTTCGGCGATCGGGAGACCCCATTGGGCCCGCACCAAAGGTCACTCCGGCGAACTGGACGACCCCTCACCCCCGCAGTCATCACCCCCCTCAAACAGGACTTGTCGGGCTGCTGCTCTCGGGGGTTGGGGGGGCTGCGCTCCAGGGGAGGCTGCACCACCGCTCCACGATGTGCTGATGAACCGAACCTGCAGTGTGCACCCTCTCCCAAATCGGTGCTTCGGCGCAGATCGCCTGCGCGCCTCCTCTCCGTCGTCGTCGTCGTCGTCGTCGTCGTCGTCGTCGTCGTCGTCGTCGTCGTCGTCGTCGTCGTCGTCGTCGTCGTGGTGCGTAGGAGGAGGAGGAGGAGGAGGAGGAGGAGGAGGAGGAGGAGGAGGAGGAGGAGGAGGAGGAGGAGGAGGAGGAGGAGGAGGGAGGAGGAGGAGGAGGAGGAGGAGGAGGAGGAAGGAGGAGGAGGAGGAGGAGGAGGAGGAGGAGGAGGAGAAGGAGGAGGAGAAGGAGGAGGAGGAGGAGGAGGAGGAGGAGGAGGGGGAGGAGGAGGAGGGAGGAGGAGGAGGAGGAGGGAGGAGGGAGGAGAGAGGAGGGAGGAGGAGGAGGAGGAGGAGGAGGAGAGGAGGAGGAGGAGGAGGAGGAGGAGGAGGAGGGAGGAGGAGGAGGGAGGAGGAGGAGGAGGAGGAGGAGGAGGAGAGGAGGAGGAGGAGGAGGGAGGGAGGAGGAGGAGAGGAGAGGAGGGAGGGAGGGAGGGAGGGAGGGAGGGAGGGAGGGAGGGAGGGAGGGAGGGAGGGGAGGGAGGGAGGGAGGGAGGGAGGGAGGGAGGGAGGGAGGGAGGGAGGGAGGGAGGAGGAGGAGGAGGAGGAGGAGGAGGAGGAGGAGGAGGAGGAGGAGGAGGAACTCGGGACTTGTGCCCCCTCGGCAGCGGCGGACCCCCCGACCTTTTTTCCGCACGCTGCCCCTCCGCCTCCTCCAGGGCTCCCGCCGGCGAGGGCGGGCAGCCGACTCGGGGCCGCGGCCGCGCCGGCGCGCGCGGGGCTGGCCACACAAAACAGGGCGCGCGGCCCGCGGAGGCTGCAGGGCCCCCCCCCTCCGGGAGGCCCGCTCAGGCGCCGCCCGCGGCCACCCCGAGCCCCGCCAGCAGCTGCTGCGCCGCGGGCGACGGGGCGATGGACCGGAGGCGCATCTGCGAGAGCGCCCTGGCCAGCAGCGCCGCGTCGGGCGCCGCCGCCTCCAGCACGCCCGCGTAGAGCGAGGGGTCGGAGGAGGAAGGGCGCGGCGCGCACGGGAGCCTTGCCGAGCTCCGCGCGGGGCCTCTGAGATCGGCGCCGGGCTCCCCCTTGCCTCCCGCGCCGCCCCTGGGGCACTCCACTCCGCGCGCCGTGGATGGGGGGCCCAGCGCCGATCCGAGCAACTCCGCGCGGACCTCCGAAGGCTCGTGCCTGCGCAGCCTTTTCTTCTCCGGGAGGAGAGGAGGCCGGCGTCGCAGCTGCCCCCCGCCTCCCTCAGCAGCTCGAGGACCTCTGGGACGTACTCCTGGAGATCGTTCTTGTCGGGGGGGGGGGGGGAAGGAGGTGCCGCCCGATAACCTGCCCTGTTCTCTTTGGGCAGCCCCACGTGTGCCCGCGCGCGCACGAGTACTGCGCACCCCTTCGGACCTGCGCAACCGGCAAGGTTAGTTCATATGAGGGTTTGGGGGGGCGGAGCGGGCCCGATAACCTGGGTGTCTAGTTTTAAGTCGGGCCTGTCCCCCTACAGGGGGATCTTCGACGAAAAATAAGAAATACCCCAAACATGGTCAACAAATAGGCCAAAAATAATCAGGGGACTATTGTTTGAGTATGTTTGACCTTTTTGGGGTATTTTTGGGGTATCTTTTATGTTTCGTCGAGAATCCCTCTGTAGGGGGACAGGCCCGACCTAAGTCTAGTTACTGGACCCTAAACCACTCTCCTGGCACCGGCCCTTGGCCAGGATGGAGCAGGTGAACTTGTTGGGGGTCAAACCTCCCTTTAGTAGACCTCCCCTTAGTGACAACGGCCTGGGACCGAAACCGACGGAGCTGGACCCGCAAAAATGACGGCCGCGACGCCCTCTCGCGAACCGAAGACGGCCAATTCCTTAATCGACGTGTCAGGGTAGGAGGTCTGTCCACCCCCGAAAAACACTCTCCTGGCACCGGCCCTTGGCCAGGATGGAGCAGGTGAACTTGTCGGGGGTCAGGCCCATGCGGCGCATGGCTCCCAGCAGGTTCCACGCCTCGGCCACTCTGCCGCCCCGGACTGCGGCGTCCATGGCGGTGTTGAAGGTGATCGAATTCGGGGTCACGCCCCGGGAGCCCATCTGCGCGAGCATCTTGAGAGCGCCCTCTGCATCGCCGCGCTGCGTGTAGCCCTTGATCACCGTGTTGTAGGACACGACGTCGAGGATGCCTGGCTTTTCGTGCTGGGCCTCTTCGACGAGCGCGGCCGCCTCCTCGACCTGGTCGGCGGACACGCCCGTCGCGAGGACGAAGTTCAGGACCAGACTGTCCCGCTTCACCCCGCGCTCCCGCATCTCCCGAAAGAGCGCGAGAGAGGCAGCCCAGTCCTGGCGCTTGGCGTGCACCCGCAGCACCGTCATGTACGCTCGGATGGACGGCGTCGTCATCGAGGACAGGACCTTGAAGAACTCCACGGCTCGGCTGAGCTCTCCGACCTCGGCAGCGAAGCCGATCAGGCAGCTGCACGTTACCACGGACGGCTCCAGTCCGTCCTCCTTCAGGCGGTCGTAGGTGGCGAGCGCCTGCCGGTACTGCTTCTGGGCCGCCAGCTGCTTCATGGTGACCTCGTAGAAGTGCAGGCTCCGCTCGACCCCGAACTGGACCATGTCCTGGATGATCCCGTCGACGAGGTGTGAGCGGCTCGTCCGGACAGCGCACTGCACCACGGTCGTGTAGAACTCGGCCGGCGTGTGCCTGGCAAGGCTCGAGCTACAAGCAAGGTGTCCGCCTTGTTTTGTTTGGCTTTCGCTTCCCCTTGTTCTGCCCTGGTCCCGCCGTTGCTGCAAAACGACATCGAAACGAACACGGTCCACTAAATCGCCAAAACACCGTTTAGCCCGAGCCCTGGTGCCTGGATCGCCTTGCCACCTGCCCCATCGTTGGAGCGCCAGGAGCCGACAGGCACGCCTTGAACTCGGAGTACAGCGCGAGGACCCTCGCTGCGAACTTCATGCTGTGCTGCTCCCGGACGCCGCTGACCGGAGGCGACGATACGGGCGAATAGCCCAGGGGGGGCAATAATGCGGGATGACGATTTATTAAAAAATGGGAGAGAACGATTAAAAACATAGTTTTCTGCTATTTCTGCACAATTTTCTGACTGGAGGAGAACGATTTTTAAAAAGTGGTTCCAGCCCGCGGCCGGTGTTTTTCAAATCGTCATCCCGGGCGCCGCCGCGTGAACACGACCCCCGGTCATTTATCAATCGTCATCCTCCATTACACGCATCCAGGGGCACCGATGGTCCAGGCCTTCGGCGAGGCTCCCCATCGAGTACGGTGAGGGAGGGCATTGGACAAGGAGCCCTTACACAAGGGATCCAGGTCTGGAAGCCGGTGAAACGCCGATCGCGGATGGGCCATGGGTAACACTGCCGCCCTCATCAGATAAGGAATGTCCCAGGGTCTGAAGCCTCCTGGGCCCATTCCTGAACACGCCCCCATCGTACCTGGAATGCCTGCGCGTGGGCTGTTCACCGTGATCGTTGCCTCCGAGCTGACCACCTCGTCGAGGATGGAGGCCGGCGCGGAGGGATCTTGATGCAAACCAGGCTGCTGGCCGTTGGCACCCTGCGTGCCGCGAGCGGACGCAGTCGGTGCACTTCCCGACAGGATCGGGCGGCGTTCGGGTGCCCTCTCGCTGCGCCAGGGGGCCCTGGCGCTGGTGGTCGCGGGCGAGGTTTTGGCGGCAAGCGCCGCCTTCGCGACGCCAGGGGGCTTGCCGTAGCCTTTGAGAAGCGTCCACTGCTTGCCCGTGAGCGTTCGCATGGCCACAGCGCAGATGGCAGTGACCGCAAAGATTGTCAGCTCCGTGCCGATAGCATCCCACGCCGCAGAGGCCATTGTGGCAGTCTCGGTCTGGGTCACTCCCGTCGCAGATGCCATTGCGTTGACTGGTAAATATGTAAGTCTCGTGAACTTTGGCGGTGTCAAGCGCTGCTGATACTGCAGCAGGGAATCTGATTGGTAGAGCAGTTCGTTTGATCGTTATACGTCCTGGAACGCAGCGGCTTCGTGTGGGCAGTTGAGCCCCAACGGTTGCGTCGAAAGGGTAGGACGACGAGTCGTAGAAGGAGGCTGAGGAGGGGAAGGACACGCATCGGGAACAGGAGGAGGGCGGAGCGGGCGAAGGAGGATAACGAGTGCCGGCTGGATGGGGTGGAGGATGCGAAAACGAGGAGGTGCAGGAGAATGAGGGGGCGCTCCGCTCGGCGGTGAAGAATGCCCAGCGCTGCCCAGGCGGAGCCCCCCTCCGCTCCGGAGGTGCCAGCCAGCGCGGGCCCTTAAGAGGGGCCGAGCTCCGTGGCAGCCAGGGCGGGCGGCACCGAACGGCGGGGAGCCCTGCGCAATCCCCGTCGATGCCCACCAGGGCCACCGCCTCCTCGCACTCGGCGCCCACCGAGGGGTAGCTCGAACGCTTGCCATCGCTCGGACGTCCATTCCCTGTGTCTGTCGGGTGCGTGCGATGTTTTGTTCCACAGGATGCTCCAGGATGCCCCTCTCGGGGATCTTCTGACCCGGGTCAATCCAGACCCGGGTCAGTCAGGCCTTGGAGAATCCCGCAAAATCCTGCAAGATCCTGTGCCCAAACCCGGGTCAATGCGAAGGATCCTGCAAGATCCTGCAGGATCCTGCGCCCAAGGCCGGGTCATTGCGACCCTGGCCCTGCAGGATCCTGCAAGATCGGGCGCTCTGGCTGACCCCCGTTTGCATTGACCCCCGTCTCAAGGCCCGATCCTCAACCTGGGACCGAAGCCGATGGACCTGGGCCCGCAAAAACGACGGCCGCCACGCCCTCTCGCGAACCGAAAACGGCCAGTTTCTTAATCGGCGTGTCAGGGTAGGAGGCCTAACCACCTCCGATGTGTCTGTCGGGTGCGTGCGATGTTTGTTTTGAGTCGGGCCTGTCCCCCTACAGGGGGATTTTCAATGACAAATAAAACATACCCCCAAAATAGCCAAACATAATCGAAAAATAGTCTGGAGACTATTTTGGGGATATCTTTTCACCTTTTTAGGGTATGCTTACTGTTTCGGTGTTCGTCGCAAATCCCCCTGTAGGGGGACACGCCCGACATGATGCTTGTTCCACAGGATGCTCCAGGCTGCTCCTCGATGGCTCGGCTTGCCCGGTGCTGGCCTCGCCGAGCAACGTGCACACGCCCGGCCGCCGCTCGAAGAGCGGCCAAGAGCAGGGTGTCCAAGAGGGGGGGGGTGCAAAACATGACCGGCGGCATGTGCGCGGCCCAGCGGGGGGCCAGGGACGTAATGAAATAAGAAGGGGCGCCATAAAATCTGAGGAAATATCATGGCCCCCGCCATGATATCCACCCCCCCTAGTCATCACCCCCCTCTTTTCCGCCCCCGAGCCGCGCCACGGGCAGCATGCCGTGCGCCCTCCCCGGGCCTGGCGAGGGGGGCACTCCCGCCCGAGGGGCTCGGGCTGCCGGCGTCCCCGAACCAGCCGCCGGCGAGGCCTGCTGTGAAGTCGGGCCTGGCCCCCTATAGTTTTTTTGTGTGTAGAACAATACTTTAAGACTATCGTCCCCCGGCTATTTTTTGACTATCTTTTTTGAGATTCCCCCTGTCGAGGGACAGGCCCGGCGTAAGCCTGCTGGCGCGCTCCCACCACCAGCAGTCCTGAGCGAAGCCATGCGCTGCGGGGTTCGCGCGGCAGCCGCAGCCCGCAAAGCTTTGGAGGTGGTGCGCGGCTGGCCGCGAGCGCTGGTTCGGCGGCGAGCGAGGGGGCGAAACGAGAAGCAGAAGGCCTTCTCAGCAGGCGCCGGGGCCTCTCCGAGCAGATGAGGAGCCCGCGGCCCGAGTCGGCTCCTGCGCGCGCGGTCCCCGCAGAGAAGCCTGCAGCCTGAGCGTGGCAGCCCGCCTCGGCCGCCCTGTGCGCGCGGGATCCCCCAAGCTCCGCGCTCAGGGCCACAGCCCGAAAGCTGTGCGCAGCAGGGAGGTCTGGGCCGTACCGGGCACCGCCCGCGCATGCGCACTCGGCTCAGCGAGGCGGCGACAAACTGTCACGTACGGGCCCTGGGTGCGTTACTGCGCGAGGTCCGCGTGGCGCGGAGTGCTGTTGCCTTGCCGTTGCCACTGATTCAGACCCTGCTCTCGCTACTGCTCTTGCGGTCGCTCCGATGTGTGGTTGCTGGCCTTGCTCCATTGTCATTGTGGTATGTATGAAGTTGCGGGAGCAGCCTGTCTTTGTTTCGTGATG